TCCACTTCACTGCTTTTAACCCTACATTTAAATTCTAACTACTTAACAATTAATTTAAATTTAACTAAATGATCCCATTGTGCAATAATAATTTCATTGTATGCATAAGAATTTTCTTCAGTATTTGTTAATTTTTCATTGTTTGATATATCAATGTTAATACCTTTTAAAATTGCTAATATGTTCTTAATACTCTGACACTTTTATTGATGTAACATTTTTCCGCTTTTTGCGGTTTTTCTCCTTTATGTTTCATCTCTTATGTTCTCCACATTTAGGATCTGGGACCTTGCGTCTTTGGTTCTTGTCATGATATTGTCGGGAAATTTTCCCATAAATTATTTTTTGGGAGCTCTTGGCAATCATGCAGTGCCTATGCTCCCATAAATTGTTTAGAAACCCTCAGCCTATCGCAGGATTTGAGGTACTGTGCGTGGTGCGTGCACCCACAGTTTGGCATTGCAACAGCGCTGCCTTGTCTCTTGGTTGCTGCCAAGTTTGACACTATGGCACTCTTACTGCGCTTACTAATTGTCTGGGGGTTTTGGTTAACCACTAAAACCGCAAGTCGAAAATTGGAATTATTAGAAGATTTTACACTGGAACAGTGTGTCGACTTTCATTTCACTCACACACCTCACCATGGCGTGGTGATGAGTTGTTATGTAGGTGGTGTTGACGGTTTCGCACTCCGGAGATTTTTTGTCTCATTTCGCTGTTTATGTACGCAACGGGAATTTTGACCATATCTTTATAGATGCTATGTAATTTACATCAGTTCCCCTTCCCAGTCCCTCTCGACTGTTTCAAGGTAATATGCACTATACGTTTCCAGTGCATATTACTACGCAATACGTGCCTGTGTGCACTTGTTTTTGTCTCTTTTTACTCTCCTTGGTTCCTTCAGAACCAACGGTAAGTGGTTTTACCCTTTGATTAAATGTTTTTAATGATAATAAGCAATTTGCGTGAGTGCACTGTCAGTTTGGTGCATTGCTCTTTCTTGATTGTCCAAGCGCACATTGTCTTTGCCTGTCACTCAACTGGTCTTAATTTGCTGATTTTGTTTTGTTCCCCCTTTGCGAGTGTGTTTCTGTAGTTTTACACCTTATGTAATTTAACGTAATTTTGAAGTATTGCCAATACTAATGAAAAGGTTTGGTCTATGAATTTCCTGTAATTTAATAAAAAATTGTGAAGGAAAAAATTTGCAACAATTTGTTATTATTTGTGTGACAGTTTTCACATTGATTAATATGAACATTTCATTGTCATATTTCCTCATTACCTTCTTTCACATTTGGCCTTTTCTAAGTTTTTGCATTGAAAATTCTTGTCTTTTCGCTCGGTTTTAGCACATCCTAATGTTTATTCAATTGCTTATAAGAAAATTCTTTTCTGATTGCAGTGCTTGGTGTATTTCTTGGTTGCAGAGATATTTGGTGACATTTTCTGACCCTGTAAATGGTAATTGGCTTTTTACCACCTAATTGTTTTTTGCTCTCGTTACGAGTAAGGGTATTTTATTAATGTTTATTAGTGTTTTTAGTGTTGATGCCTTGATCACTCCACTTTTCTACATGACCACCCACACCATTGGTTTTTACATGAATACAATTATGGACATGCCAGCCAGCCTTGTTCGACATCCATAGATCACTTTTACTTTTTAACTTTGACTTCTGACAATTGGACTTTTTGACGTTTGATGTCGCGGTTGTCGCCTGTCAATTGTTTTGCGCCTCCATCGCTTCGGATTGAGACGCAAAAAAATTTTAATTTAAAGATTTCAACATCTCCTAATTATTCTAATGTTCTAACATATATTTGGCGGCTTAACTGCCTTATAAGAGTCCTTGTGGGTTGACTGGTCAGCGATGCTTTCACGGTGGAGTTATCAACACAAACCATGTTTAATGTAGTTTTTATGAAGGTATTTTCTGTACCACGTTAAGTAAGTCTATTCTTTAACTTTTATAACAGCAATTGTCAACTTGTATTTCCATTTTAGTGTCCTGAGGAAGGAATAAATAAATCCGAAAGCTTGACACAACAAAGTGTATTAATCTCTTTGTCAAACCCTTCTGACTGCAACCCCACTAAATCCTTAGATTTTCTATATATATATATATATATATATATATATATATATATATATATATATATATATATATATATATATATATATATATATATATATATATATATATATATATATAGGGTGTTCTTAATGATATAGTTGGGTTCACGAGAGAAATTATTGGTTAATTTTAAGAAAAAAAACTTCACACGAAACTATTTCCTAAACCTATCAACTTGATAACTGAGATACAGAGTGGACAAGGTTCCTAGAATCCTTTTGGAGGAAAATTAACTCAAGAGTCGCCTCTAAATGTCATTGAGGAATATCATAATATATTATTAAAAGGTTAATTATACAGTATGTCCCCGGATTTTCTTTACAAGAGGAAAAACTTTTTTATTATTGATATTTTGATAAAAATGCATTCTTCATAAAAATTTTTGCTTGTTCTGAAATGGTTAATCCTGTTTATACTTTTCCAAATTTCCATACCGTTTTAGAGAAAATTAAAAAAAAACTGAAAATATGGTTGAATTTTTTGAAAGCCTAAAAATCAAAACGCGTTTCTATGGTTTCGCTCTTTGTTGTTATTGATCTCCATCTGAAAAAGCGCTGTAAGCATTGAACGTCAATATCTAAGTGTTATATTTCCGTGTTTGCTATATTTTTTTGGCAACAAAATTTTATTTTTTTGCAACAAGAATTTTATTTTTTACTAACTACATATGGAATATTACTTTGTTTATTCTATTTTAATAAAGCTCTTTCTTCCTTTTCTTTTTGATATATTATGTAGCTGCATTTTTATTAAATATTTCTTTAGATTAAATTTCTCATTCTGATCCCCGCGATTCCGAGATTATAGGTTCTTATTCCGGGATTTTAAATAATTGGAAACCCTACTTACACTGAGTGAAAGTTTTTTTATATCGTTAGTTGTATTGGCTAAATATTTGTGAACAATGGGTTAGAAATACCGTTTGATCGAAAAAGAAACGGCGTCATAGACGCCTGGGGAATGACAATAGTTGCTAGTTTCGGCGAGGTCAATTTCTAGACGCTAGTTTCTAAAAATTGACAAAAACTTATCAAAAATTAATACTAATTTTCTAACATCTAAAATATGATTGAATGTTTCCAGACTCACAAATCTACTTCCAAAAAAGTATTTTTTTCTCGAATTTTAAATTACATTATTAAAAAATAATTTTTACTAATACAAAAATAAATTACAAACTTCTTAAAGTCAATTGGCAGTAAGCGCCATGAAAAAATAAAGAATAGTACGGGCCAAGTAAATGGAGATCTAGGACTTGACCTCGCTCATAATAATAATTATTGATTTTCATTCCTATGTGATAATCATGTATGTGATAATATAATATAGCTGCTTGAATGAAAACAATGATTCCAAATAGCAATATGTAGCATCCACAAACACTAATTCTGAATCAGCGTACCTACCCTACACGGAAATTACTAAAATTTTTATATTAAAAGGTTAATTGATAATTACTCACATTCTACAATAGTTGTGGAGTCCTTTATACAGGAAGTTGAAATTTGTATATTTGTGGTATCTATATTACACACTTTTAAGGTGCAAGGTATTTGTGGTAGCATAAATACACCTTCTAGAATTATAATATTTGTGGAACAGGTTTCCACAATTAATAAATGCCAATAACTTTCTTACGGTGGAGTGTATAGATATATAAATTATATTTTTAGGTCGTGGACAGCGAGTTCGTATCATTTCGTACAAAAATAGAGATGATACCACAAATGTCTTTACTGCACGGTTGTCACAAATATGGTCACAAGCAAACAACAACACAACTAGTTTAATATATTATTATCACCACATTTTATCGATATTTTAAAACATTGCTCATCTCTAATATAAAATTTAAAAAATAAAACGAGTACCGCGAAGAGATAGGTTCAACGATCTCAGGGTCAACCTGTTAGCTAGGAAGCAGACCTGCCAGACGAGGTAAAACTTTCGGTCGTACCACTTGTTTTCGAAAGACAAAAACGGTACTTAAATTTCGCGTCCATTACAATTAAGTTTTGGTAAACATTATCTGTGTCAGTTAAAGTTAATATATATTATAGATTTGGTAAGTTATAGTTTTATACCTATTCATACCTATTCAATAATAGAATTAAGACTTTTTTATTCAAAAACTTGTCCAGTTTTTAGTTATATTTTACACTTAAAATAAAAATAACATTCTTCAAATTTAACTCGTTATAAACATTATATAATATATAAACAAAATAGTAACAACAGTAAAAACACAGAAAAATCACACAGAAAACACGCACAGAAAAAACACAACCAACAACTAAACAGTAACTACAATAAAATTAAAATAGACAAAAAATACTAACAAACAGATAAACCACAAAACAGACAACCAAAAACGCTAAAAACTGGCTGTCTAAATTTAATTCACACATAAATAGTAAAAAAAATACAACCAACAACAGTAAAATTAAAATAGAAAAACTACAATAACAAACACATAAACCACAAAACAGACCACCAAAAACGCTCTACACAACAACAATAAAATTAAAATAGACAAAAATACTAACAAACAGAAAGGGATAAACCGCAAAACAGACAACCAAAAACGCTAAAAAACTGGCTATCTAAATTTAATTCACACATAAATAGTAAAAAATTCAACCGACAACAGTAAAATTAAAATAGAAAAAGTACACTAACAAACAAATAAACCGCAAAACAGACAACCAAAAACGCTAACAAAACTGACTACTCAATATGACATAAATTTCTATTCCAAATTTCTTTCATTATCAGATCATCAAAGATGCAACATAATAGTATCTTAATAAAGTCAGTTAAAATAAATAATTCTTTTATAAGACTGAAATATCAACATGCTCAATTGCACATCTTGTGGTAAATCTTTTAGTCGTAAAGATAACTTATTACGTCATATGAAGACTGTCTGTAGCAAGTCAAGATTTTTCAATCAAAGGGTTGCAAAGTCTACTGTGAATGAAAAAAAAAGGTAAGAAATTTTATCGCTAGTTTACAATTCTAGTCTTATAAATATTTCCATTTACAGAGAGATTTTGTAAAGATTGTAATGTGCCAGTTTTGTCAAATATGTGGGTAGGGCATTTACGATCTAACTATCACAAAAACAATTCTAAAATGATAGAAGATAAAGGAGTTCAAATTATTAAGTCGGCGTTTAAGGAACGAATAGTGTCATACAGAATTAGTACAGAAAAAAATATTCTAGATGTAAAACAATATTTTAAAGAATTAGAAGTCAAAATTCTGTGTATACTAGACAACCAACTCATAAAGCATACCTGCATTAAAATCAGTATGGAACTTTTTGGTTATTACTATAATCCTACTACTAATAACCATGATGTCAAATCATTCAACACACCTTTTAAAGTAGTTTGTAAAAGCACCGAAATAAAAGATTTGGTAGAAGAATTTTTAATGATTATTGACAACAAGGCTGACGTGTTCGCTGAAAAAGATTCCGGTAAGAGATTTTTTAATATGAAAATATAAATACTTAATTTTATTTTTTTGTTTCAGGATGGATCTTACTTAATTTTCTTTACTTGGAGATTAATATTAATAAATTCAACCCAATGAGAGCATCATCGTTTGTTGAACTTCCTCCTGAGATAGTACGACGTCAAGCTATAGTCAACATTAGAAACAACGATGACTACTGCTTTGCTTGGTCTATAGTAGCAGCTCTTTATCCCCTAACACGTGCCGACTTTGTTACATCATCGTATCCACACTATTCAACAGTTTTGAACACTGCAGGTATTGCCTTTCCAATGTCATTAACCTTCCAGAAGTCACCCACGGTGTCTGAGACCGGGCGATCAAATTATTCGTTATAATTTAGGCCGTAGTGGGGGTGGCGTGCCGCGCTCCTAGCTATGTTTCTCGGTTCGCGCGTTTCAGTGGTAGTTTGGTTTTGGCAATTGTATAGTGAAGGAGTTTTCAGTTATCACGTTATCCGGATTCTGAGACCGGGGTGACCACTAAAGCAAACGGTCTGGTGCACCGGGGTGATATCGGTAATAGTAATTTTAGTCTGCAAGTTATGTATTATTTAAACTTTATAGGTGTTTAAAAATACACTTGCTTTAGAGATGAATTTGTATGAAAAAGAACAAAAACGTCTTTAGCAACTGATGGAGGAGGCACTTGAAGATGCGGACTTGGACAACGATATCGAATCCGATCAGGAATCGGATCAGGAGGAATGTCAGGAGACAGATAGCGGAACTGATCAAAATATTACAGATACTGAAGAGGAAGTGCATTATTTAGGAAACCTCACATCTTGGGAAAGATAAATTCACGCGTTGGTCGAAACAGCCATTACAACGTAAGACTAGGGAAGCGAGAAAAGAAATCATTATAAAACGATTTCCTTGACTTTCGATTGACACAAAATTGTTAAAAAAACCTGCGCAGATAGGAAGGTTAAAAGACATTAAAAAATTTGAAATTCAAAATAATATATCGATTAATGTATACGGTTTAGAAAAATATTTTAATAAAATTTCTAATAGTGAAGAATATGAAGTAATAGGGCCTTTACATTTTTCAAGTGATAGAAAAAATGTACATGTTAATTTATTATTGATAAGTGATGATGATGGAAATCTTCATTATTGCTACATTTCCGATCTTTCAAGATTAGTTTCTAAGCAACTGAGTAAACACCATGGAAGAAAATACTTGTGCAATGGATGCCTTCAATATTTTGATACAGAACAAAAATTACAAAACCATAATAGTTATGATTGTGATCATATTAGAATTAGTTTACCTTCTAAAGAATTACATAAGGATAAGTTTGGAAATGTAGCATATGAAAATATATTGAAATATGTAAATTATCAAAAACAAATGGAAGTCCCTTTTGTGATTTATGCTGATTTTAAATGCATTTTGAAACCTTTAAATAATAATGATAATGTAGTAGACCCAAATAGTTCATATACTGTAAAAAAAATTGAGCACGTTCCCCATTCTTTTACATATTATATAAAATGTTCATTTGATGATACATATTCCAAATTTAAAAGTTATAGAGGTTTGAATAGCGTCCAAGTTTTTATAGATTCTTTGGAAAAAGATGTGTTAAACCACAGACTAACCTAAACAGATGCGACAAACAATGCAAATGTGAAAATTACATTTTGGCGAATGCGCCAGGCAAATTTTTCCGTTAGATTTGTCATATAGGCGAATTTTACAGCGGACCAGCAAAGTAACCTCCATTCGTTTACTAAAAAGCCGGCCTTCTTTGTGTAGAAAATAGAGAGGGAATTTTGTAGTTCGGAATCAAATAGAGATGATTTTAATTTCATTAGTTTTTTTTTAATTTTTGATACATTCACAATCTATACCTACTAATATATAAAATTCTTAAGTTACTGACTCACTGATTAACCACGATCCTGCTCAAACCACTCAACGTAAGAAGCTCAATTTTGGCATACAGATTGATTCTAGGGTGTAGAGGTTCGATAAGAAGAGATTTTTCGAAATTCCAGTTCCAAGGGGGTGAAACCATCCCTCAAATATCACAATATTTTTTATTTAAAAAACGGTCAAGTTTCCGAAAAAACGCTTAAACACGTATATTTTATTTTGTTTTTTTAACATAATTTAAGATTTTTTAAAAATGTATACAGGGTGTTTCGAAAAATCTGGTCATTGATCGAAATTTCGAAAAATCTGGTCACGATCCTGCCTAAAGCGCTTGACGTAAAAAGCTGATTTTTGGAAAACGGATTGACTTTAGGGTGTAGAGGTTCGATAAGAAGGGATTTTTCGAAACTCGAATTCTAAGGGGGTGAAACCACCCCTCAGAATATTTTTTATTTAAAAACCGATGAGTTTTTCGGAAAAGCTCTTAAAAACGTATATTTTATTTTGTTGTTTTACATATTTTAAGATTTTTTAAAAGAAATTTATACAGGGTGTTTCATAAAAATATGACCATTGAGTAATCACGATTCTGCGTAAACTGCTTGACGTTTAAAGCTGATGATGATTTTTGGCAAACGGATTGACTGTGGGGTGTAGAGATTCGATAAGGAGGGGTTTCTCGATTCCAAGAGGGTGAAAATGCCCCTCAAATATTACAATATTTGTTATTTAAAAACGGTTAGTCTTTCTTTGGGAAAACGCTTGGACACATAATTTATTTTGTTTTTACATATTTTGAATTTTTTTTTAAAAATCATACAGTGTGTTTCAAAAGTTGGGTAATTGATTAACTACGATTCTGCTTAATTGCTTGACGTAAAAAAATATTTTTGGCAAACAGATTTTTCGAAAGTCAAATTCCAACGAGATGAAACTACCCGTCAAATATTACCAAGTTATATAATAATATCGCCATATTGTTTTTTCTCAGGCTCAGGACATAAATATGAGGACATTTTATCCAGTTTGTATGTTAATGGAAATTCTTGCTTTGCTTTATCATCACCATTACAAATGATTAATTCGACGCGAACGAAGTTGCGGGACACGCTAGTAATTAATAATAACTAAAAGATATTAATACATTTTAAAAAAAGGTTTTTTACTATTAGGTATTTTTATGTATTTCTTATTTTATATTATATAATTTCTAACTATATAATTATTAGAAAGTGACTCCGCTGCCGGCGCCGGTTCCTTTAATGGTTGCCGGCTCCGGTTCCATTGACGGCTGAAAGAACGGCGGAAAGTAACGCCTGGCTATAGCCAATTTTGCGAGAGCAGCTGTGGCTCCGTTACTGAGACTGAGGCCATCACTTCGTGAACGAGAGGTCCGTGGTTCAAGTCTCACGCCAAACCAGAATTTTTTATTTTTTTACTGCTGTTTTTTTTTTTAAAAAAGCTGTAAATATTAATAACTAGCAATCAAAATACGGATTGCGTTGGTTTCACTCTTTTTGGTGGGGTTAGATTGATTATTTGGTGGAGTTAGTTGCGTTGGTTAAGTTGGTTTATTTGGTGGTGTTGATTGCATTGGATTGGTTTGCTATTTGGTGGGGTTGGTTTGGGTTTTACTAATTTACATTTGTTTAGCGTTGGTTAGTCTCTGGGGTAAGTTGACATTTTTATTTTCGGAGCCGGCATGTGTGCTCCCGAATTGTGGAACCCGGCGCCGGCAGCAGAGTCACTTCCTATAAATATACTTCCGATTCCAGGGTGGTCTGGGTCACAATTTCTTCTTAGTCTAAATACATTTGTAAAACATAAATAAGAGATAAAATTTGTTGACACACCCGACCTCCGTTTTTCGTTTATTATAGGCGCTCTGTGCTCTCAGCTCCATTGGAACGAACTATAATTATTATAATTATCCCTAAATTTCATCTCCAAAAAAGAGAAAAAGTCGGTACAAAGATTCCGTAAAAATTGGTTCTGGGAGTCAGTGGCGGATACAGAGGGGGGCCCATGGGGCCCGGCCCCTTAAATCTGTAAATTGTGTTAAATATTAGGCTTTTTTGTTAAAAATGGCGCCCTAAAAAGCATATTCTATATTACTTTTTATTTTGGCCCCCCCTAAAATAAATTCCTGTATCCGCCCCTGCTGGAAGTTTAATATTTTGCACAAATGTAACTTCATCCCCTAAAGAGGTGAAATTAGTGGTGGAAATTTATATAAAAATTTGTAAAAATCTCTTCCTAAGAATATACAATAATTTTGTTATTAATAATTTCAGAAGGTTTCTTAAGTAACGCAATGACTATATCAGGGGCGACTATGAAAATTCATCCCCGAGGAGGGTAAAATTAGGGCTGAACAATTATAAAACAAAACATAAAATAAAAACCTGTTTATTCAAAACATTACACAATAAAGGTTTCTCTAGGGATTCAATAAAAAAATCCATCCCTTAAAATAAGGGAAAAATGATTGCAAATATTCGTTAATATTTGGTATAGAAGTATGATATTTCGGTGTGGCATACTTACGAAGTGTTTTCTCGAAACTCATTTCCTAAAGGGGTAAAATTAAGGGCAAAATTTTATGAAAATTCGTTACTACTATGTGGTTTAGAAGTACATAATATTTATGAATTAAAATTTGGCCAAATATGCTTAAGTATAATTGGGAAGCAATGGTATAGAGTAGAAGAAACGATTTTTGAAAATTCCTCATCTCGGGGATGATATAGTAAAGTTGGCATGAAAATTTATTACTACCTGGCATAGAAGTATAATATTTTTACAAAGTTTATGTAGTTAATAAGTCGATTATTTGATCGAACTGTATGTCTATTTAAATTCGCTTTTTTCGTATTAGAAAATCTAGGTATTTTCGGAAAAAAAATACCCACAGTTTTTGATATAATTTAGTTATAGAAAATCTAAAAAATGTATCTTCCTCAGTTTTTAGTGAAATGTTTTCTCATCCATTGAAAGCACATTTTTTTAAAAGCATTTTAAATAAAATCAAAACCAGAAACTTAAACTGAATAGCTGAATTAACTAAAACAATACTAAAAGAACACCGTGAACTAACTAAATGTAAACCAACAAAACCCAACAGAAAATTAAAATCGGAAACAGCTAATAATAATAATGTATGTAATATCCATGTGAAACAACTGAAGAAACTGACTTAAAAATCCTCTGAAAACCTTCAATATTCCCATCTTAGATTCCCATATTCTTTTTCTAGGACACTGTTGCCAATTCTACTTACCAATTTGTGTAAACTATATCGGTATCACGGCACATGCAAACAATATGCCTTGTCTGTATCATAAAAGTACCTATTTGCTATATAAAAGATCAGCTGCTAAATTTTAAATCAATTTAAAATATCAAATAAAATGATAGTAGTGCATAAAACTATTAACAAGCAGGATATAAAAATAATTAAAGATAATTTAAGCTGGCTAATAGTAGATTTACTTTAGATTAATATTTGAAATTAACAGCTGGAAGTACAGCTAAATACAAAAGGCAAGCTGACAACAAAGATCCTATTCTTTAAGAATTTTATATTTCTGATATTTTATATCATTTTAATTTTAAAGATATCGTCATTTTCTTTATACATATGTGTATTGATCTTAACCCATTGTTAAAAGTTTGTAAATTTCATACATTTTTACAAATAAATATTAGCTGATATTTCCTAACATCATGTAATTATAGTTATTTATTATTATCCAGGAGAAAGCGCTAATACAAGTACATATAACATTTAATTCTCACATAAAAAAAGTTCAAGCTGGCAATCTCGCTTTAACTTTATAATCGTACGGCGCTGTGACGGCCAGACGAAACGGCGCGGTGTATCAAAGGCAAGGTTAAAGGCGAGAAAGAACAAAAGAAATGGAAGCTTGGGGAAGGGGGGAGTGCGGGAACGATTTGAAGTCACCACGGCTGTTTGTTTGGCCGAATATTTTGCCTTCATCGACGGTATCGCCGCTCTGTCGTCGCACTTCCGAACATAGGTCTTTTTGAACACAAAATTTCCCATAAGGTGTCGCATCTGTTTAAGTTAGTTTGTGGTTAAACTTATACCACATATTTTAAAAAAAAAATAAAAAAATTAATACTTTGACGGAATTAGAAAAAATTAGACACAACTATGTTACAGATTGTCATATTTGCGACAAACAACTTTTATATGATAAAGTTGCTGATCATTGTCACATTACTGGTAACTACAGAGGACCAGCTCATTCTTTATGTAACTTAAACTATAAAATTCCTAATTATATTCCAGTTATAATACACAACTTATGTAATTACGATTGCCACCTATTTATAACAAGCCTATGTTCAAATAAAGAACAATTAAAAGTAATTGCACAAAACAAGGAAAAATATATTTCGTTTGAAAAACAAATCCATGTAGACAATTATTTTGATAAGCATACTAAATGTATTAAACAAAAGAATCTATTACTTAGGTTTATTGATTCTTTTCAATTTCTATCCTTTTCTTTATCAAAACTTTCAGATACCCTAAAAGATGAACAATGTGTAGAAGTAAGAAAATTTTTTGATGATGATGAAAAATTTAGTCTTATTCGTCAGAAAGGTGTATTTCCGTATAGTTATATTGATAGTTTTGAAAAACTAGATGAATAGTTTTTACCAGAAAAAGAAAAATTTTATAATAGTTTAACAGACCAACATATTTCTGACCAAGAATATCAAAGAGCTCTTAAAGTTGGGAAATTATTTGAGTGTAAATTCATAGGACAATATTCAGATATTTATTTGCTGTCTGCCACAATACTTTTAGCTGATATTTTCGAAAATTTTCGAAAAACATGTTTATCCACATATAAACTAGACCCTGCACACTTTTATACATTTCCCGGCTTATCATGGGAAGCTTGTTTACGTTATACAGGTATAGAATTGGAATTAATAACTGATCCGGATATGTTGCATTTTTTCAAAAATAGCGCTCGTGGTGGGGTTAGTTCTTGTATAACAAGAAAATCTGAAGCAAATAATCCTTTTCTTTCAAGCTATGATGCATCAAAACCGCATAAATACATAATGTACTGTGATGCAACAAATTTATACGGGTTTGCAATGTTCCAATATCTGCCAACGGGTGATTTTGTATGGTTAACAGAAAAAGAAATAGAAAATTTAGATATTTTTTCTATTTCAAACACTTCAAATACCGGATATGTGCTAGAAGTTGATTTAGAATATCCTGAAAATCTCCATGACCATCACAATAATTTTCCTTTTTGTCCTGAGAACTATAAACAACCCAATTCAAATTCCACAAAATTAATATCTAATTTAAATCGCAAATCGAAATATGTTATTCATTACCAGTTATTACAACAATGTCTACAAAATGGACTTGAAAGTTAACTAAAATGGACTAATGAAAGTTAACTAAAATACATAGAGTTTTACAATTTTCGCAATCTGCTTGGCTAAAATTTTTTATAGAATTAAATACATTACGTAATGAGTCTAGAAATGAATTTGACCGTCACACATTTAAATTAGCAAATATCAGTATATACGGAAAAACAATGGAAAATGTGGATAGGAGAGTTGATGTAAGACTTGTTACAGAATGGACAAAAAATAAACAAAAAGATGGTGGTGAAAATTTGATTGCAAAACCATATTTCAAACATTTGACTATTTTCTCAGAAAATTTGGTGGCTATTTGCAAAAAGTATCAATCACTTATAATAAACCAATATACGTTGGATTTTGCGTTTTAGATATATCTAAAACTGTTATGTACGATTTCTTTTACAACTTTTTAAAACCTCTATATAAAGAAAATGTTTCTCTTCTGTATACAGACACTGATTCTTTTATTCTTGAAATCGAACCAAACAATATTTATTGTGATATGCAAAAGAATATTCATAAATTTGATACATCCAATTATTTACCTAATAATATGCATAATATGCCAATAACACAATCAGTTGTTGGTAAATTTAAAGATGAATATGCTTGTGAACCTATTACAACATTCTACGGTACGGGAGCAAAATCCTATTGCATAAAAACTGAAAATAGTCTCTTAAAAAAATCTAAAGGTATTAAGAAACCTACTGTTAAAAATCAGTTAGAGTTTATCCACTACAAAGATGTTGTAGAAAATAACACTAAAAAAATTTGCTCTATGTATGTGTTTCGTTCTCGACTACATACAATTTTTACCGAGTTGATAAATAAAATCGCGCTAAGTTCAGAAGATACGAAGCGATATAAAATTCCACATGATTATAAAACACTCGCTTGGGGTCACCAGGATATTTCATTTTACCAGTGGAGCGCTGATCATCCCGATTTAGATGTATTTTTTTAATTAATATTATATCAAACATATTGTTAATATTATATTAGTAGTTTAATCGCATATTTTGTTTTAATGAATTATTATTATATATGTTTTATATAGGTATATAAAAAATGTATATACATGTAATTAAGATTATATAGTTGTAAATTTTAGTAATCAATTATTTTAGTCCACCACATATTTTATATTTCACTTGCTAATGTTCTCACATAAATGTACTTATATTAAGTACATTTTTTTTTAAATTAATAGTATAGTAAATTGAGTATAGTACTTATAGTAAGTTCTTTTTAAATTATTTTATTTTCTATTGATCGTTCATAAGATGTATTTGGAAAGCTTTGATATAGATATCGATAATGTTGCTTATAAAACATATGATACAAGGCTTTCTACCTTTAAAAAATGGAAAGGTAGATTAAATCCTGAGATATTAGCTGGAGCAGGATTTTACTCAATTTTGTTTAGTGATGTTTGCAAATGCTATTATTGTGGAGTTGAAATTTATGATTGGTTGTATGATGATTGTCCTATCGAAGAGCATTATAAATTTGCACCAACATGTAACTTGAATGAGTGCTTAAGACTAAACAAAAATATTAATAAGCAACTTTTTACAACGTTTAGAAATAACAAAAATTGGAAATACAAAAATCTAGCGATTTTAGTAATAATTTATTTCTGTTATCAATATATATTTGTTATAGCAAAATGTATTTATATTAGTTTATGATAGCAAATATAATCAAATGTTAAAGTGCTATCCTCTCGAACGGATGTAAATTTTATATATTAAATAAATTGATACAGTGTTTACTTTATTTTAATGGCTTCTCTATCCCATTTTATCCTCCTTTATTTCATATCTCAAAATATTATTTATGTTCATTACCCTCCTAATGTAACACGATGTGAAATATGTTTCTCTAATAAGACAAATATAACCCCTGATAAAAATTGTCAATTTATGAAAGTTGGTTTAATCAATAATAATACATATAGTTTTATATATCGATCGGGACAGGTCAACTCTGTGTATAGGATTTTAACGTGTAAGACAGTGATGTAGGCAGCTTAATGGAAAATCAAATGTATTAAAAAGAGAAAAAAGTTGGGTGGGTATGGGTGGGTACATTTCTTCTGAGCGGTATTGCCGGATTTTGCATCAAAATTTCAAACCGCAGAAGTAGACGTTTCAAAAAAATGTTGCATCAGGGTTGGATCTGGATTTTCGACAAGTAGTTACTCATTTTACTACAACTGTAATATATTACATTTAGCTTAGATATATTTTCTTCATTTCAGTAAGTAGATAATATATGAGAGATCCTCCTCCTCATAATACTCCTCCTCCTCCTCCTCCTCCTCCCACTAATATAATATACATTTCAAAAATATGTTAATTCCTACTGCTTTCATCCCCACTTTATTTACTTAGTCATATATAGCAGTTTTGTCTAGTTCTAGCAGTCAACTATTTAGCTTGACCAATCAGGTTGGTTAGCGTGGCTATTTGAAGGGTTGCAATGCATCTGTGTTTGTCAAAGACTCTAACGTGATTGGTCGAGCAAAATGGTTGCCATACTAGGGCTAGACACAGGTATATGTAGCTAGTAAGGTGGGTCTTTAGAAGAAGGTAAAGCGAATCTCTTATTCATCAAGAGTGATGCAATACAATAAGAAAAAATAACTAGTTAGAAGGCTGATTCAAGAATATACTGATTTCCATCAAACTGTTTCTCATCGAATAGTTTTAATTAATCAAAAGGATTGGTGAGGCTACACGGCGAGATCTTTCATCGAGCCGCCCAAACCATCCGGATCATATCGCAATAGTCTTTCGGCGCTGTCTCCATATAGCGGTAAGATGTAGACGGTAGCACCATCTCTTATCAACGTGGCGAAACATTGCAACTTTTGGTGGGAAAAACCGTTAATTCAAATATAGATTCCTGTAATTTGATTTATTAGTATGCTATTTATAGTAACAATGTATTTTAAATACTGATTTCAATTTTAAAATTATTTTCAACTCCTCCTCCTCCCCCTACTCCGATACAGCGGTCCTAGCCGGCATTGAACTGTTCGCTTATAGGGACGTACAGAAATATCGATATTCTACTTTTCGATATTCTACTTTTCGATATTTCGTTATATTAAAAAAGTCTTTCTATTTAGATAATAACTATCGATATCAATCGATATTAAAAAAATATGTCGATTCATTCCTACTTTTTCTTCAACGAGGAAGATAGGGTGATATAAAGAAACAGAGATATTCTTATCCCCACTTATTTTTACTCCCACTATATCAATGTCTAGTCATATATAGTAAAAGCCACTAAAAGTATTAGTTCAGAATGGCCGAAGAAAATAATTTACAAACCCTCTCTCAACAGACCAGTTTTACTATTCAACATCAATCTATACTTAGTATATTACAATCTCCTCCTAGGGAAGAAGAAGAAACTATAACCTGCGAACAATATACAAAAGAAAATATAGAAGAAATTAAGCGACTGTTTTGTGCTATTTGTCAAGACATGGTTGATTGCTACGAAACATGTGTGCCAAATACATGTTCACACTTTTTTTGCTTAAACTGTATATTAACATGGAATGATGTACGTTACGATTCAAAAATGACAACTAAGTGTCCACTATGTGGTTTACATTATAAATATTTAGTGCAGTTTCGAAAAGATATAATTAGATATTACTTTGTCCAGAGTATAAAAAGGGGATTAAAATAAATGTGACTATAAATATTTGCAGTTTTATTTCACATCATGTAAAAATTCTATTGATTTAACACAAAACCGATTAAACCGATTGATATTTCAAAACATTGCTCATCTCTAATATAAATATAAAATTTAAAAAATAAAACCAGTATCACAGGTTCAACGATCTCAGAGAGAACCGAGAACAAGATACCTGCAGATATAATCTCAGATCGACCTCGCCTCTGTCGACCAGTTGCTTATAAAAGACAAAGGCAGTCAGATGGTTTGGTTGTAAATTTCGCACCCATTGCAATAAAATTAAGGGTATTTTGATAAACATTATTTGTGTTAGTTAAAGTTAATATCTATAGTTTTGGTAAGTTATAGTTTTACATATTCATCTAATAAAATTAAGACTTCTATTCAAAAACTTGTCCAGTTTTAATTGTATTTTACATTTAATTTAAAATAAAAATAACATTCTTCAAATTTAACTCGTAGTAAACATTAAAATAGTATATAATATATAATAGTATAACATATATTCTATTATAATTAATAGAATAATATAAAAAAATAAAAATAATATAAAAACACTCAGATAAATAGATTAACAAAAAAGATAAAAAAACAGTCAGTAATCCCACTATGGACAAATCAAATAAATAATAGTAAACACAACTAAACATTAACCACAGTAAAATTAAAATAGACAAACTATACTAATAAACAGATAAACTACAAAACAGACAGCATGTCTAAATTTAATTCAATATTCATAAACAGTAGAAAAAATATAACCAACAAACACTCAACCACAATAAAACAAACAAACAAACAGATAACAAAGACGCTAACAAAACTAATTGTCTAAATTTAATTCATACATATAGTAAAAAAATACAACCAACAATAAAAACAAACAAACAACACTAACAGACAGGTAAACCGCAAAACAGACAACAAACACACTAACAAAACTGTCTGTCTAAATTTAATTCACATATATAGTAAAAAAATACAACCAACAATAAAAATAAATAAACAGATAAACCGCAAAACAAACAACAAACACACTAACGAAACTGTCTGTCTAAATAATTTAATTCACATAAATAGTAAATTATAACCAACAATAAAAATAAACAAACAGATAAACCGCAAAACAGACAACAAACACACTAACAAAACTGACTGTCTAAATTTAATTCACCATGGATACATGAACAGTAGAAAATCACAACCAACAGTAACTAGAGTAAAATTAAAGTTCATCAAATTAACATAATAATGAGTTGTAACATAGAATTTTTTATAGAACTAAAGTACCAACATGTTCAATTATACATCTTGTGTTAAATCTTTTAGTCTTAAACATCATATGAGAGTAGCTTGTAACTAGTCAAGTTTTTCAACTGATGGCTTGGAAAGTCTGCTGAAAAAAGGGTAAGACTTTTTCTCACTGTTTTACAATTTTAGTCTTATAAATATTTTCTTTTACAGAGAGATTTTGTGAAAATCGGGAATCACATGACAAAAGATCGATTTTCGGCAGAATCAGGTAAATATTTTTTTACAGGTAAATATTTTTTTAAATGAATCAAAAAATTAATTTATTGCTAGTTTAAAAAAACTCAAATTGATAAAGGAAATGCTGAAGAACTAGAACTTTTAAAACAATGTTTTGATACGTTAGTGGATTCATTTAATTAAATATTTACATTTTTTCATTTATTTTTTTAATTAAATTATATTTATACATTCTTTTTCCAAATTTAACCTTTCATATAACAGAATAAAATTTAATAATAAAACCATAAATTTATTTACAGAATAAAATTGAAAGATGTTTATTTGCCCATCCTGTAAAAAAAACTTTACTCGTAAAGACAACCTATCTCGCCATTTAAAAAGTGCCTGCAACAAATCATCCTTTCTAAACAGATGGTTGACAACGTCTACACCTGAAGAAAAAAGTAAGATTTTTTATGTTATAACCTTTTGAAATTAACAAAATAATTGTATTTATAGAGAAATATTGTGAAGAATGCAAAGAGTCAATATCACAAAATTTATGGTTTGGTCATCTGCGATCAAACACACACAAAAATAATTCTAAAATAATTGAACAACCTGGAGTACAAATTATTAAATCTGCATTCAAAGAACGAATAATAACATATAGATTATCTATGGAGGAGATGATCTTAAATGTTAAAAATTACTTTATAAAATTGGAAAAAAAGATTCTTCGTATATTTGAGGATCAATTAAGAAAACACACATGCCTTAAAATTAATATGGAGCTTTTTGGCTATTATTATAATCCAAGTACTGATAATCATGATGTAAAATCATTCAACACTCCATTTAAAGTCATTTGCAATAGTGCCGAAACAAAGGATTTGATAGAAGAATTTGTAACAGTTATTGACAATAAGGCAGATGAGTTTGCAGAAAAAGATTCGGGTAAGTGTTTAACTTTAATCTAAAATATATATGTAATTAATTTTTATTTCTGGTTTCAGGATGGATCTTACTTAATTTTATTCATTTGGAAATTAACATTAATAAATTCAATCCTTTGAGAGCATCATCATTTATTGAACTACCTCCTGAAATAGTACGACGTCAAGCTGTAGTTAACATAAGAAATAACGATGACTACTGCTTCGCATGGTCCATAGTTGCAGCTCTTCATCCTCCAACAGGTGTTGACTTTGTTACATCATCATACCCTCATTATTCAACGGTTTTGAACACTGCAGGTATTGATTTTCCAATAACATTAAAAAACATTAAAAAATTTGAAAATCAAAACAATATTTCTATTAATGTATACGGTTTAGAAAAATATTATAATAAAATTTCTAAAAATGAAGAATATGAAATAATTGGTCCTCTACATTTCACAAATGCTAAAAAAAATATTCATGTTAATTTATTATTGATAAACGATGATGATGGAAATCTTCATTATTGCTACATTTCCGATCTTTCTAAATTAATTTCTAAACAACTTAGCAAACACAATGGTAGAAAATATTTATGTGAAGGATGTTTGCAATATTTTGATACAGAACAAAAATTACAATACCATAATAGTTATGATTGTGATCATGTTAAAATTAATTTACCTTCTAAAGAATTAGTTAAAGATAAATATGGAAATGTGGCATATGAAAATATATTAAAATTTATAAATTATCAAAAACAAATAGAAGTTCTTTTGTGATGTATGCAGACTTTGAATGTATTTTAAAACCTTTAAATAATAATGAAAATGTAGAAGATCCAAATAGTCCATATACTGTAAAAAAAATTGAACATATTCCATACTCTTTTGCATATTATATCAAATGTTCATTTGATGATGATTATTCTAAGTTTGAAAAATATAGAGGTTTGGATAGCGAAAAAGTTTTTATAAATTCTCTAGAACAAGATGCGTTAAATTTGTATCACACATTTTTAAAGACTCCTAAGAAAATGAACACTCTAACAGAATTAGAACAAACTACACATAACAATGCTAAAAACTGTCATATTTGTGATAAGCCACTTTTAGGGGATAAAGTTGCCGATTATTGTCACATTACAGGCAACTATAGAGGACCAGCTCATTCTTTGTGTAATATCAACTATAAAATTCCTAATTTTATTCCAGTTATAATTCACAACTTACGTAATTACGACAGCCACCTATTTTTAAAGCATATGTAAAAAATATTAAAAAAAAAAAAAAAAAAAAAAACAAAATAAAGAAAAAAATTATATTTTCCTTTAAAAAAAAAAAAAAAAAAAAAAAAAAAAAAAAAAAAAAAAAAAAAGGAAATTTAAAAAAAAAGAATCTATCACTTAGATTTATCGACCCATTTCAATTTTTATCATATTTCTTTATCTTAAACTTTCAGATACCTCAAGATGACAATGTATAAGAAATAAGAAAATTTTTTTATTAAAATATTGTATAACCATTTTTAAACTTATTCGTCCAAAAAGGTGTGTCTCTCTATAATTTACATCGTGTTTTGAAAAATTAGCAGGAAAATTTTACCTGAAAAGATCAGTTTTTTAACAGTTTAAACAGCATGAACCATAATTTCTGACGAGGAATATGAAAGAGCTCTTAAAGTTTGGGAAATTATTTGAATTAATGATATAGGACATATTTCAATATAATATTTGCTATCAGATACTTTACTTTTAGCTGATATTTTCGAAAATTTTCGGAAAATGGTTTGTACTTATAAACTAGACCCTGCACACTTCTATACTTTTCCAGGGTTAAGTTTTGAATCTTGTTTACGTTATACAGCTATAGAACTGAATTACTGATAGACTCCAAGATATGATAATTTTTTTAAAAATAGCGTTTGTCCGCGTGGTGGAGTTTAATTTCACGATAACAGGGACAATCTGAAGCAAATAATGTGTCGTGTGTGATATCAAAATTTGATTCCCAACAGAAACCCTAATTAAGGAATAGTCATAATGTACCTGATCGATGCCAACAAACTTGTGATGCGTGTGTTGGCGCTGTCCGATCTAGGTTAAATCAGGTGATTTGGTGCTTGTAATGGTTCTACGCTTCGGTCTTAACGCCACATCTGTGAGCAGTAATAGACGCATAGTATTACTCTACATATTTTCTCACACTTGTCTAAATGACGATTTATGCCAAAGGTTATGTTCTAGAAGTTGATTTAGAATATCCCGAACACCTTCATGACTACCACAACGATTTCCCTTTTTGTCCAGAAAATTAAGAAAAAAAAAAAAAAAAAAAAAAAAAAAAAAAAAAAAAAAAACTTTAAATTAACAATCAATATGTAGCTTCGTTACCAATTACTAAAAACAATGTCTACAAAATGGCCTTAAGTTAACTAAAATCCATAGAGTTTTACAATTTGCTCAATTCTGCTGGTTGAAACAATTTAATAGATTTAAACACAAAGTTACGTAATGAGTTCTAAAAGAATGACATTTGATCGTCACACCTGTTTAATTGACAAACAATAGCTATTTATGGAAAAAACAATGGAAAATGTGGACAGGAGAGTTGATATAAGACTTGTTACCGACGATGCGGAAAACAAAATAAAAGGAAAGATGGGGCTGAAAATCTCATTGCAAAACCATATTTCAAGAGACTTACAATTTCTCAGAAACTTAGTCGCTATTCAAATGAAAAAATACTAGTTACTTATAATAACCAGATATATGTTGGCTTTTCCATATTAGATATTTCAAAAACGCGTTATGTATGACTAATCTATTACAATGTTTTTAAAAACCTTTTATAAACGATAATGTTTCTCCTTCTTTATCAACACTGGATCTTATTCTTGAAATTACCAAATAATGTTTGCCCTTCCATGATATGCAAAAGATATTGCATAAACTTTGATACTCCAATTATTGTACCTACTAATATGCAATAAGTATGCCAATAACATCAATCAGTGTTGGGAAATTTAAATATGAATATGCTGGTGAACCCATTGAATCTTTTTATGGTACGGGGGCGAAAGCATACTGTGTAAAAACCGAGAAAAAATGGTCTCTAATAGAAGCCATAGTATAAAAAACATGGTATGAAAATCAGTTAGATTTTATTCATTATAAAGACGTAGTAGAAAATAATCTTCTAAATTTTTGTGCTCCATGTCATGTTTTTCGTTCTAAGACTAACATAACAATTTTTACCGATTACATACATAAAATCTGCACTTTGAATTCTTGAATGATAATAAAGGTATTCAAAATTATCCAACATGATTTTTTTTTAAACACTTGCTTGGGGGGTCATCATGATATTTCATTTTCACCGTGGAATAGCAGATAGATTTTCCAGTAACCTCGAATATATTTTTTAAATATACAATTATTGTTCTATAGATACATACATTTATACAGGGAACAATATATTTTTGATGGTATTTTAGTATTTAGCATTTACCATAAAACTTTACACAATTATTTGAAAAGTTGACTTATTACAAGTATAATGTATTAAAATAGCATTTCTACTCTGGAGATGATTAAATTAATTCATAGATTCCACTTGAGGCTTTTTAACACTTGTTATAATTTATATAGATTTAAGTTGATAGATTTTACAGAAAAAATATAGAATACAAAAATAATAAATAAAAATTTTATCAATATTTTTTAAATTTAATACAATATATTTTTTTTAGTTTTAACATTTTCCATAAACTCTTTAAGTGGTGTGAAGACATCAAACTTATACACAAAATAGCTTCAGCATTAATTCTACCAGGAAGAAACAACTTACTTTACCTATGCACAAGGACGACAACACAAAATAAAAACGGTTAACGAAAAAACTTGAAAACCATTAAAACTTATTTGAAGTGGGGACTCATATAATTTTGTTAAATAAGTAAAATAATTTTCTACATTTTTTTTTTTTTTTTTTTTTTTTTTTTTTTTTTTTTTTTTTTTTTTTTTTTTTTTTTTTTTTTTTTTTTTATTAATAATATACTTTCAATGAGTTAATGCAATTTTCAATGATAAAATATACCACTGTTAGAATACATGTTTGACATATTTCTAATTTTCTTATTAATGCCTCTTAAGATGTGTTATGGAAAGTTTTTGCTTAAAGATATTTGATTGATGTTACTTATAAACCTTGAAATCGATTTCTACTTTAAAAACTGGATGGAAAATTGGACCTGAGGTTTTAGCAAAGCAGGCTTTTATAATGTTTCCATTATAGTGACGTATGCAAATGTTACTATTGTGGAACTGAAATTTATGAGTGGACCTATTATGACTTCCTCTATGCGAAGAACATCCACCAGAAATTTCTACATTATGTAATTTAAATGAATGTCTAAACAAAGTCAAAGGTTAAGTCAAAACAAAAAAAAAATAAGAAACCAAAAATTCCAAAATCTAAATAATATTCTTTGGAATGTCCATAATTTGATGATATATTATTCCATTAATTTACATCTTTTTTCAACATATATTTCTTATGCTGAATTAAGGTTATTTATTTCATCTATAAAAAAATATTGTCCAATTCATTTGGTATACCATCATTGATGGAGTTAAATGTGATAAATAACTTTTTAATTTAAAATAACTTTTTTTTTTTTTTTTTTTTTTTTTTTTTTTTTTTTTTTTTTTTCGTTTATTTCATTAAAATTCAAAAATGTTGTCTAATGTTCCCATCTCCGCCTTCCCTACTGAGTCAAACGCTCGACACATGAGGAATATGTTTTCGATGCAAATAACCAACTCATACCTTATGAATGCAAAAATTTGTCGGTATTATGAAGTTTGTGTTCTTGTTTATCCAATCATATTAAATACAATACTTTTAGTTTAGGCATAATCTTACCATTCAACCAAAACGATGAGCGTGTGAGACCAAGATCTCTATAGTTTCAATGGTATTTTTTCGGGGGTGTCATAAGTATTATTCTGCTATTTCCAACCAAAACCCATTTTTGTATTAATTGAGTCATTGTAGAAACGATACCCCAATGCTTCGCCCCGACGATCAGATAATGTATATGAGTATCTTTTTTTTCAAAATGAATCGAAGATCTCCGACTTAACTGTACTTTAAAGTATCTCATTAAAAATGGAAGAAAAGCT